CCGTGGGTATGGGTGAACAAGCAACGTGCGGAGCCGCTCGAGGGAGTCCGTTGCTTGCTGTCTACTGCGCGAGCCTTGACTGCCCCGTTCTGTAACTTCCCTTCTTTCGTCCGTCCACGAGGCTGTAAAAAGAGAGAAAGGGGCGGCTATCTAGCGGGAGTCGTTTCGGTTGTATGCCACGAGGTCCCTATGGACAAGGGGACAAGTGAATCATCGCTTTTGGGCGTCCCTCTACCTTCTATCCCATTTCATTCCATCGTCTCGTATTGTACTGACCAGATAGATCTATTGAGTTAAGAAAACTATTCTTTTTATATTGATAGGGATCACCATTCATTCCTAGATTCCGATTTATTTTCCCTACCTAACTACATGGTAGTGGTCTAGGGAGCGCAATTGCTAGAGCACGGGATAATGAAGAGTAATGATTTAAGCAAGAGCAGCCAGACGGACTACTATAGTGAGTCTAGTGACTACTAGAGTAGAGTGAAGTCAAAAGGTATGGTATAGCAGCCTTTCCGAGCGAGCCTCCGGGATCTCCTGTAAACCCCCATGAGGAGGATATTAGGGGAAGCAGTGAGTGGAGATTCCCCTGCAGAGAGCCGGATGAGGGGAGACCCTCACGTCCGGTTCGGAGGGCGGGGATATCCCGACCCTACTATCATTATGCCTTTGCAATGTTACTAGGTTTAACTCTATTTGTGACCTTTTTTTGTATGTGGGACTCTCTATCTTCTTGGGTAGATAATCGATTGTCTTTAATTTGGATAGTGAGTTGTTTTTATAATAAGTCAAGTCAAGAATAAGAATCTAACTGGAGGAGCTTGCCAGGATGGCTTGGTAAGCAAGCAAGCAGTTATGTAGGCGCCAACTCCCAGTTCTTTCTCTTCTTTCTTTTTTATCATCAAAATAAGATTGCTGGAAGAATAGAGATCCGGTCTTTCGTTCGCAACAAGGTAGCCATAGGGAGAACCTGTGGCTGGATTGAATCCTATGCCCTAAAGTTCTTAAAGTCCGGATTCATGGATAAGCCTTCAGCTAAGAGAAGGAGAAATGCTATAAGTCAAAGTCAACTTCGTTCACCACTACGTTCTTTCAGAACCGCTCCGTGGGCTTCCCTGAAAGCTAAGATGTGGAATAGCGCTAGCTAACAAGTAAACGAGTGAATCTTGCGTAAGTGAACGGAATGCTGTTGGCATGTTCGAGCTAAGCAAGTCAACTACTTCTCTTCGTTGCGTAAGCGAAGTGAGTTGGCTGTTTCGAGCTAGGGCTAAGCGATGATCCAAGCTGGAAGTGAGCCGGAGTTCGTAGGCTAAGTGAACGGGGAGCAACGGCTGATCGAAAAGCGAAGATAGGCGCATAGTTCAGTGATCTACAAGAGTGGTAGAGGTCCCGATCAGGTTGTTTTAACAAGCTAGTTAGGCCAGATAGGCTAAACTAGTACGGCTGTTTGCGTACTTGCTTGTTAAAGCCTGAAAAGAAGCCAATAAGGCGCAGTTACAGCTACATTGGATAGGGAGTTGCGAAATCAGGCATAGGGTGTACGAATAGCACTGATCGTAGACCATCCAGATGCTTATGGGGCAGAACAGACCGATTGATTAGTTCCCGTGATCGTAGATCCACTTTAGCTAATGCAACTCGGGAAGAAGCTGCTAAGATCCCGTCGCTTACAAATGCTCCAGCGTGAAATAAATACTTTTTTAGGTACAGGGATAAATTCGTACAATAGTGCGAGTACTGACTTGTTAAGAGTCCTGACTAGTATACCGTCTGCTATTCTTACTAAATCTCAAGATAGTTGTACAATTGAACACGGTATGGGTAGGAGTCAAGTGGAACATAGAATTGTTTATTGACAAGTTTGGTTTTTGCATTTCGTTCAATAGGAGACCTATAAAGAAATATAAAGAAAGGGGAATACAGATAAATGTTTGACGCATTAGTAGGATTCATTCTTTTCCTCTCCACAGATACCGAGATCTATCCTTAGATAGACGCAC